TCTGTATTCGGGTCTTACAGGGTTAAGTACATTAGTCGCAATGAATACAAACACAGTACAATCATTGTTTTCTAAAATGTTTAATAAATATGCTGAAATATGATCTTATAGAGATTTACAATCATTAACACACAAGTATCACACATTCATACAAACATCACACAATTAAGTGCCCTATTTATTTGCGTATTCCTGTCTAGCGTAGCTGATGCACAGGATCTCTGGTTTACTACCAGGAACGGTTGGTATGTGCCTCTCTACCGCGGCAGACGATGTATACGAACTGCACCAGCCACTGTTAAGCGGCCCTAGTGACAGACAAGTGGCGGCTGCCGCTACCTGCCATTTCCGGATGTCAGTGACGTCACAGGCGGCTGCCAGCTGCCGTTGCGGGATTGAACCCCGTCTCTTCTGATGCTTTATCTGCTATTTCTCCCGAAAAGCACGTAAAGCATTGAGAACTGGTTTTAATTTCATTTACCTAGTAAAATAAAATAAAATGTAATTTAATTAAATAAATGCTCTAATCGTACACGTAAGATAGTTGTTTATTTATTGTTAGTTTCTGTAATGTTGCGCTGCTTTTTTTGTTTAATCGTCCAGTCTGTGAAGAAGGCAATAAGGTAAGAATTGCATTGTACTCTGTACATTACAATAAAAACTTTGAATCCTTGGAATAAATGTATTTGATCTTTTTCTTGGCAGCTATCTTTTTACACAGGGCCACTATACACAATTAGTTTATTTTTTCACTGCTAACAGTTTGGATCAGGAGTTGGTTATTGTAAAAGAAGTAATGTGCATGCAGGTGATATTTGTATAGCTTTATCTGCACCCTTCTGGCAGTGCTGCCATTGCAGTCGAACAGGTCTCGCACACTACAAGGAGTAGAAGTTGTCCGACTTGGCTGCAGTCAGTTTACCCCTGTTTTACACTGGATGCGTGTCCGCTGCGGTGCGTTTCCGACAGGGCAGCCGCAGGTAATCGCCGCCAATAAAGTCAATGCATCAGTTTACACCAGATCCGCTGTGTTGCGTCTCCCGCTGTGACACATTATTTTATCCATAGAAACATAGATAAATGTTATGTTAAATGTTATTCTCCCGTGATCATGTGATCTCTCAATTTCTCAAACCAGCGGCGCGGCGGATCAGATACGGACCACAAACGCGTTCAGTGCGCATTGGCGGACGGCCTCGGACGGAATGGGAATGCAGCGCAGTCGCACCGCAGCGGACACGCATCCAGTGTAAAACAGGGGTTATACTCCACCCCTGCAGCCGTCGGCAGATGGCGCTCCACGTCACGTCAGCTGCAGAGAGACCTTAAGGTTCCCCTGTATCTGTAATGTACTGCCATCTACTGGCAGCAGTAATTAATGTGGTGAAAGCACGGTTTGTACTGTGTGTGCTGGGTTTCCGTATGTAGTAAACCGACTGACTACAATAAAGATGGCAGATTGCTAAGCTGCAGGTGTGTGTCAGGTTCTTCCCAAATACGTTACAGTATCGTGTCCCCCTCACTTCGTACATCAAACAATGACATTATAATAATTAATATTATTATATTACATTATATTAATTAAAATTCATGCCATTGCTACCTAACTTATCAAAACACTTTAATATTAACGTCACCATACCATCAGACTCTTGGTCTTTGTGAGCCCTGTTGTAGGACAGTAAAATCTACAAATAACGGTAGTATCCATGCATCCATGAATAGCAACGACATTTCGGTACAACCACCCACCATACGTGCAATCCAAAATGACCACATTTCGGACTTCTTCGTGTACGTGGCAGATTGCGTCGTCATTAAGTCTTCGCGCGGACACGCATACCATATAGCGCCACCTGCCGTATAGGAGTATTTAAAAAAAGAGTTGCTGTCACTTGGTATTCAATTGACCTAATACACAGTATGTCAGAAAATAAACCAATGGTGTAGCATATTAATATCACTTCATAGTTTCATATTTTTAGACAAAATTGCTCGTTTAATGCGGTCATACTAATGTCAGCATAATAACACTAAGCTCTCTTTTCTGTGATTTCAGACTCTTTCGCCTTGAACATTGCCCTCTTTATACGCTGTTGAAATATCATCCCACAAGGTAAATATTTAGCAAAAAAATGTGGAACCTTTATATGTGGTCCATCAAAGATGGAGGTTCTAGACAGAACAAGCTTACAAAAGAGGGCAATGATCCTCGAAGACGGGCATGGCCGCAGAGTCATTCTTTCTATCCTCCATGATCTTGCTTAACAAATTAATCTGAATATGTACATAGTTAGTATTATTTTTTCTGTCATTGTCATATATTTTCTCACATTTCTTAAATGCTTATGCTCTTCACCCACATTTTTAAGGAGTGTGTGTTTTCCTTTTCGTAATACAGGTTAATTTCCATGTAATTCTTTTTTTTAAAAGAAAACTCAATTGAGGTGGGTCCTGCCTCATGGGTAGAGGAGATGAATGGGGTAAGGATACATGCATACACATGTTAAAGTCCATAGTTTTGCAAAAAGTAAGACTTGATTAACTTATTAACACTAATTTTGTGAATTGTTTTAGGTTCTGATTTGCTATTGGCCCCGTAAAAATGCCACTGGCATGGCAAAGGCCTCCCAAAGGCTATATAAGCAGCTCTGGAGTAAACATAAAGTTACAATCATCTCAGCGACTGGTGCGAGACTGATTGTAGATTGTCATATAGAGGTTCACTGCATTTATGTACTCAAGATGATTACGTAAAGTATATACTCACCATTATGTTACTCTGACCTTAGACAACTACAAGACAGCCAGAGAACGGGCTCAAAGAGCCACAGAGACCGCAAATGTGGACAGTGCGGAGGAAGAGGTTAAGAGGCGTAAAAGGACTGTCCCATCCAGATACAGGACAGATAGTGAAAGTAAACATGTGACTGCTATTTCCTATATTGCTTCAATGTAAAGAAATTATGTCAAATACTCTGCATATATTTACTGGATCTTTCTGAATTAATAGGTGACGATAAGTTGCCACCGAAACAGAGGAGAAAATCTCCTCAAAACCCACCAAGCCTCCAAAACCTCTGAGTTGTAAGTAAAAGAAATCACTTTTGGTGTAATTTCACATATGCTACAGTGCCTTACACAAAGTATTCAACACTATAAACATTAATGCTCTAGTATATTTCTAAAAGGCAAAAAGTTGTGTAACAACTAAAAGTACCAAGAACCCCTACATTACTAAGTAAGAAACTGCTCCTTTGTTTTATTTAAAACTAAGTACACACTACCTTAACACAAGACAACTATCTGGCTATAGTGAGCTGTACATTAAAATTCATTATGTAACTGTGACTGAAATTTATATCATTCTTTTATTGTCTGTTCTCAGATAAACCATCTACTCAGAAATTAAAAACAATATCTGTACACATATATCGCTAAATTAATTACCTAGTATGTTAAACGGTTAGATTTCACAAAATGTTGTCCATTACATTGCATAGACCCATTATTTAATATTTATTAAATGCTGCATTTTTTCTAGGAGCTTGTGCTGCACAATTTCCGAGGGGTAGCAAGAAGGACATTGAAAATTGTATGGGGGATACCCTAAAACACGCACCTCACCATGCCAAGATCCACCCAATACCTGTAAATTCTTTTATTTTTCTTCGGAGCAGTTAACACTTAAAACTGCACTGCACATTTATGCCATTCTTAAATTCATAGTACCTGTTCACTTAAATCAAACAAGCCAAGCTACTGTAACATTTTATGGCAACACAGGAGGACTGGCTGTGAAATCACTGAACATGATTTCACAGCCAGTTTTATTAGTGTAACTCATTACTTTTATTACCCTTCACCTTCTCTCTCTAATAAACCTTTGTTTCTGTCACAAATTCATGGACACCTACTCATAGTCTAACCACTAATAACCTCACTTTTCTCTTATATTTCTATACTTTACATGGCAAACGCATTTGGTTAATATGCTAAGTTACCTCATAGCCTGTACACCTAAGGGTAATTAAAAGCAGTTAAAAAGTAATTGAAGTGACTGGAAAATATTGTTATTTATGATTTTCAGGCAGCAACCTGAGGCATCTGCAGCAGATCAAATTGAAGACAGTGACTGAGTTCTCTCACCTTTTCTTTTTTTATTGACAGTATTCTTGGATGGTTTCAGCTCAGTTTGAGAAAAGAACATTTTAGATGTTACTACAGTGACTGAAATAATTGTTTCATGTAAATAATTTGTTTAAATAATTGTTTTACATAATCTGAGTAATTTTGGTCCAAAACTAAAACATCTGTAGCTCTCTCTCTCTTGAATTATGAATAATAAAATAAATAATAAGAACTGAAATGCATTGGATATAATTGTTTTATAGTGTAAACATGTTTTGGTATTCCATATACTAAACTTCTGGTCACTTAAATGTTGTGCAAAAGTCCCTGTAATGTTACAGTACTAAAGTTCTGCAAACGATCTGAGTTGTGCCACATTTGGTACTGCTTTGTGTCTGTTGTTGCAGTTCTGGGCAACACCACTAACTTATTTGGCACACTCTATTGGTAAATAACAACAAGTCCCATTTTATTATAGTTTATTTCGGGTAATTTCTCCTTTTCTGTTGCATAAGAATCTCAATATTACTCGCGGAAATATCACATATGGCGATGTGATACAGTGATAGCCTATCGTACAGCCCTAGCTTTAAGGTGGTGCAAGGACTAAAAAATGACATTCTAGGTTGGTCTAGGTTGGTTACTGTAATTGTCACTAAGGATCTACAAACGTCCTGGGAAAGTGATGAAAAGACCAAATAGGACCAAAAAAGAACATTAAAGTTTGGTGCCCTAAACGTTCCCAACACGTCCTGAAAGTACCCCGAATGTCCCCAAAATGATGTTCCCCGAACGTGTAAAGAACTCATCGTGACCTCCCGGGAACGTTCTGGAAAGGTTACACAGCGACGTCCGTTACACCAGTGGGAACATTCTCAGAACTTACTGAGAACGTACAGTTTCTAGCTGGGTACTCGCAGTTTTGCAGCTCAGACATACAGTACGGACTCTTAGCCACCTCTATAATTTGCGAATGTTGATTTTAAAACAACACACAGAACAGTTATTTCCAATCATAGGTCCTGAGACAACACTAAGAAATACAAACGGTTGACGGAACAGAAAGCGTAAAAACTGCTGCCTTGAAAAAGTCTGCTGTCTTGAAAAAAATGTAAATAATTACAGTACGTAAAATGCGCAGAGGGCTCCTGCAGGTGAATAGGTACGTTGTGTTAATTTCCAATCATATGTGAGACAGCGCCCCTAGAGTCACACATTACGACGGTCACAAAATATGGTGTACCTGTACAGTAGCGGGAAAAAGTTCATTTATTGGCTGAGCTAGATACCGGTTCAGTACGTACGTACGTTGGTTAGCTGGCTGGAGTGAGATTTTCAGTTCGAAACAAGCTTGTACGCATGCACACACATCGAGATGTATGAAACAAGTTTTATCACCTTGTGAATAATCTGTAGGGTTTGCAAACTAGTTACCAAACTTTATGTAACCAATTTTAGGTTTATAATGGAATAATATAGATTTGCCGTTAGATTTCTGACGTGCGAGTCTGAGAGCGTGAGTGTCATGCCGGAGGCGTGAGAGTTATTGACAATCCTTACATTCTGCCTAGCTTGAACGACTGTTTGCAGACATTACAATAGGCTTCTCGGTGGTTTCCAATTACTTGTTTACATTGAATAAACCTGGGGTGTTTTCCATTCGTGGATTAACTAGATATCTGGATTTAATTTTAGACAATTTGACAACATCCCGGATATTTCAGTTCTGAGAAACTTCTGTTGGATTGGTTGTGATGCTGAAACCTGTTCGGAGTAGGTTTATTCAATGTAAACAAGATTAGATCACAGATAGCCTATAAACAGTTCTTTCCACTCAGGAAACCCGTCCAACCATTCTTACGAGATGAGCTGATTGTAATCGGTGTGATCATAATAAGTACACAGCATTTTTTTCAGCAGAACTAAATTGCATAATTTTAGAGTACAAATACAATAAATTTAATACTAGGCACAGAAAAACAAGAAAAAAGTGTGGAAAAAATACAATATAACACAAGTACTACAGTATATCAACAAAACATTAGTCCTTGGATGAAATAAAATAAAGAGTTATAAAAACCCCAAATAAAAACCATCATAAAGTTACAATTTAAGTGTATACACTTCATCAATGTTAATTCTTACTTGTATGTTCTATTTATGATAGTATCATAGTAGTATGGATTATAGATTGCGGTCCAACCACTTGCCTTCTCAAGAACCACTGTCCATTAGCTTTAGTTCTGAGCTTTCCTTGCCATGTTGATTGCCTGATGCTCAGTCTAGTCTCTGTTTCTGGAAAGGAAAGTCATCCGGTTCAGGCTTTTAACTCGGGATTCAGTGCTAAACTCTTTTTCTGGAATAGCCCACATCCCTTTCTGACCACAGTGCACTCAGCTTCTAATGGCTACTTCCAGCATGATAACACGCCATGTCCCAAAGCTCATATCATCTCAGACTGGATTCTTAAACATGACAGTGAGTTCCCTGTACTCAAAAGGCCTCTGCAGTAACCAGATCTCAGTCCAATAAAACACCTCTGGGATGTGGTCGAATGGGAGATTCGCATGATGACGACGCAGATGACAAATCTGCATGAAAAACACATGAAATACTGATATCATGTTTGTTCATTATTAATGAATCATGACGCACCTTTTATCATGATTTGTGCTTTAAAATTTACTGAGTTACTACGAAGTATTTGCGCCACCTCAAAGTGTCACTGATGACTTTTACGTTAGTAAAATTTTAGTGCGGTATTTGGACTTTTACTTAATTATGAACATTAAGTAGGCCTACTTTTCCACCATTTATGGAAAGGCATCTCCACTGGTGTGAAAAGAGAAAAAAAACAGCCTTGTGATAGCCACAAAATCAGCATTATTATTATTATTTAGATTGAGGACTAGTTCCCTAATATTCACAGCACAAGGTTCTGCTTTTCTTGTCACCGTGACAGAATACTTAGGGCGGAGTTTCCAACTTTGGTCAACTGGCTGCAGTGAGACTTTCAATTTGACACAAGTCTACACACATACCCACGCATTTACATGAATGTAACGGTTTTATTAACTTGTAAATAGTTGGTAGGGTTTGCAAACCACCCCAATGTTACTGACATAGCTAATTTTAGATTTATAATGGAATAATAAAGATTTGCCATAAGATTTCTTGCGTGAGTGTGAGTCAGAAAGAGTGAGTGTCACGCCAGATGTGTGAGAGTTGGCAACCCTGACTTAGGTCACACTCAATAATTTTTTCCTGAAATATTAATAAGTCATCTATTCCCATGATAACAAAGCTCAGATGACTTAACAGAGCTCAGGTGTCTGTTGACCTCAGCGGGCAGCAGGTCACACAGAGGTCACGTTATTGTTTTTCCCCGAATAAACTCCTCTTTTCTGATCTCTCGTCTCCCTGTTCCTGCTTCCACGATCTGTCGTGACAGTTTATTTATTTTTTCCTTTAATATTCCCTCCACCACCCTCAGTCATGACAGTTTAAATGATGTCCACCCATCAAACTGGTTTTTCCCTTTACAGCCTTTCAGGAAAGCATATTGAAACATGACTATTTTAACCAGCAGTCCACATTGCTTGCATTTCTTGGCTCAGAATTTTTCTAGAAGCAGTCTTGTGATTTTCGAAATGAACAGTTTCTCTTTCTTTTCCTGACTGTTTTATAGCTGATATATGACTGTATAGACCATGGCTGGAACTTCGCGGCACGATCGGGCGATGACCATGGATGCTAAACGACAGCTGCTTACCGTGTCAGACCCTCTGGAACGCCTGCGGCTGCAGTGTCTAGCACGCGGGTCTGCAGGCATCAAGGGACTGGGCAGGTACTGGGCGCGTGGCGGATACACAGGGCCAGTGAAGCTCTCTTCGTGTGGTACATGTGTCTAATGAGTGAGACTCCTCTTCCAAACACTGAGCCCCTGCTCACATGGTGGGTTTGGCCAGTGTGAGTCCTGTTACACTATGAATTTCAATGATGAAAATGTATTCATTTGGAAAGGATTTTACCCTCTTCAAGATAAATCCCGAATGTGGCATTTTGGAAACACCTGGTTTGACTGTCAAGCCATGCACTTCAGGTGCTGGAGATCTTTGCTTAGCTGTGTTCATGCTAATCCAGTTTGAGAAGAATTTATCATACTGGCAGTACATTTGGTATTGAAAACAGTGCTTAACATAGTTGCCCTGAGGACACTGCCCAAATGGTATTTATCAGTCATTTGGTAACTTGTTTTGGAGATCGTAAAACATAAATATTTATTTCCACAGGACCTTCAAGATAATGGATGATGACAACAGCCGTACCCTAGACACGAAAGAGTTCCTCAAGGGCTTAAATGACTATGGTGTGAACATCGAAAAAGATGAGGCCCTAAAGCTGTTCCAGCTCTTTGACAGGGATGGCAGTGGACTCATTGACTTTGATGAATTTCTCATCATGCTCAGGGTCAGCAAACTGATATCCAACTGCTGCAGTCAAAGCGCTTATTCATATGTCCACTAGGGGGAAGCATTGGGTGGATTTATTCTCATATATTTCCCAGATAGGGGGTTGAGATTGTTTTTATGGTTACAGCCGCCCATGTCTAATGCCAGGAAAGAAGTGATCATGGAGGCTTTCCGAAAGCTGGATAAGACCGGCGATGGGATCATCACCATTGAAGACTTAAAGGGAGTGTATAACGCGAAGAACCACCCGAAATATCAAAACGGAGAGTTGACCGAGGAGCAGGTCTTCCGTCAGTTCCTGGATAACTTTGACTCACCCTATGACAAGGACGGGAAGGTAGGTGACATCACACACTTCCTTTCAGTAATGGCAGTTGTCCATGCTGTGTTCTGCGTCTATGAAGAACCTACTAAAATCTGAAAGAAGATCAATAACTCTGGGACTCACTGAGCACAGCAAACTAATCATTTTACTGTGCATCTATGTGCTTGATGTACAGTACATGCTATACTGTATGTGCTAAGCGTTTAATCAGTCTCCCTCTGTCCCTAACCCATCACCCCTCCTCCCAAATACGCACGGCTTCTCTGGCTTGTAATAGTGAAACTACTGAAACTGTAATAACCTGCAGGCCAGAAAAGCTGACAATGCTTTGGAGTTTACCGAGGTGAAGAGGGAGAGCATCACAATGGTTCACACAGGAAGCCTGTCTTATCTTTAACCTCTGTAATGAAATCAACACAAACTGAGAGATGTGAGCTAAATGAAAAACGCTTGTTGGTTATTACAGGCTGTGCTTTCTGGCAGTCAAACAGGGTACTGGGGACAGTACCATTGCTGAAAGGTAGAGGAAAAGGGCACGTCATTGTGGTACTCAAGATGACGGTGCCATCTTGGACCGGGTGCATGCAGCTGAAATAACACAAAGGGTGAAAGATGACTGAAATCCAGCAGTCTGTTGAAAATCTTGAGAAGCTCTTCCTTTATTTCCAGTGTCCCTTGGGAGCCTGCACATCACCAGGAGACATTCAGTGTTTCACCAAACAACAACTATACCCATGCTCACACTCACGTGAGACTCCTTACATGGCTCACGGGAGTGTAGTTTACGCTACATGCATGCAGTGCGTTTTATGTCAGTGTTGGTTATTCTCTTGTTCTGCTGTGATAGGTGACCCAGGAAGAGTTTATGAATTACTACGCAGGTGTGAGTGCTTCCATCGACACAGATGTCTACTTTATCGTTATGATGCGGAATGCCTGGAAATTAAACTAACAGCTCGATCTACAATCCCTAGGGTAACAAGCCTTGACCCCGACCTGTGGGATGTGGATTGCAGAGCAGGCTTTTCGCCTTTGTAGAGTCTTTCATTCCCCTATAGGGA